GAATATCAACCAGACCTGTTGTTATTGAACAATAATATAAATTCATATTCGTGCAAGTAGATATCCCTCGTTTTATGTGTTGAAGAAATCATACTATTGGCTGCAGTATGTCTTTACTCATGTACTGGAACATGAGAGTTTGAGCTCGAAGTTTTACATTTTAAACACACAATGTTTTGAACATTCAGTATGGACTTAAAGGAAATATAATTAATACCAAATTTAGAAAGTGAATAAACATTGGAGCTATAATGTTTAACATTATCACGATATTTTGGGCTAACTCCTAATCAAGCCTAAACTGTTAAATCAGCTTCCTCCTAGAATTGACATTCATAAATATGTAGATTTCTTAAACAAAAACGTGTCATTTTAGCTTCCGAAGACTAGTGGGGAATCACAAACTCGTCCAGTTTTTGACCTTGCTTGTACACTGAATGATGACCACAATTCAATCAATATTCAGGTATAGTCTGCAAATGTCACGTAATTTACTAGCTTGTTATCTTAATTCTATATCCTTTATCTTCCATCCACAAATTATGGCAGATGAATTGAGCGTGTCCTCCATGTTAGATTTAGAGATAATAAAACAATGGCAGGTAGGAAAATGAAACGCGAATACCTAAAGAAGTGCCTCGAGTGGGATACTCAAAACCTTGTCTGCTAAAGGAATTTCGCCTTAAAACAATAGTAATAATATGAGCCTGTCAGAACGTCGATCCTTCACATACCACGACTGGATACATTGTGGTAGACCAGACAGATATGAACGCGAAAAGTATAAACAAAGTTACTAAAGATCAATAGTAAAATTAATATATACAGTTAACTATTACAAATACAATAAAAATTAGGGACGTTACTTAAATTGACCAAACGTTGCGTGTTCTGATTAGGTCCGGTAATGTTAATCCACAATTATAAATGCTTGATGATTCTGAGCAGGTTGGCGAACTCTCTAGTGATATAATCCCACGTAGAATGTGATATATTCCAATTACAGTCTATAAGTAATGACAATATTTGATTTAGACTTCAGCTAAATCAATCACAAACGAAAATAGAACGAGGGATGTGTGAGTAGTAATGTATTTGTTAGCCAGCATGAATATGTCACGCTATGTTGGAATCACAACGGAAAGTGTCTTCAAGGTGATTGACTAAAACAACACGTACAGTCATTTAATGATGAATGTACACACAGTGAAAAATTGACAAAACAAATACAAATAACATTGAAAACTATTTACAAAATAAGCTTGTCAGTCATATCTCCACAACATAAACTCGAGTTAGTGACGACCGCCAGTAGATTTTGCATCCAAACTACATATTTCTATTCTATTCATTCATTCTGATAATCCATACATAACCTGTGTTACAGATCATGAAATCATTCTCCTAAACAATTGAGTGGTTTGTGAATGATTGATCAATGTGAAGGATGAGATCAAAGGTTGAACAGATAGTGAAAGTGTGGAGAATGGTAAAGGTTTTTGATTTCAGTTCAGATCTTCATGGTGCTAAATAAACCTGATTATCCCACATGTTGTTCCCTGCTTTTTTTCTACTTCACTACAATATTAGACTTATCAATTATGTTTTTTACCCGCTGGTTTACTGTTGTGGATGCGGAGGAATAGACCAATAATTATCATGTTAAGTCCAATGTTGTCCTTGGACTTTAGATGGACATTTCCTATTGGTCGATATCTGTTCACTTGTTGAATATTGTACAAAATGTTGTTTTCTATTTTTATGGTACGATGTGGTATGCTTGATTGGTATATAAGCAAAGTATGTTTGAAATATAATGATTCATATCTAAAAAAACGACCTCAACATAAAGCCATAACAATTGGCGACGGGGTGGAGAAAAATCTTGGACCTTGTAATTGGACGAGATTCAGGCTAATTGTTTCGACCAATTAGAGTCCAGATTTATCATCATCGTCCTTGAGCAACATTTGTCATTATCCCTTCAGTTAATTTTCATTGCTGGTGCAGAAAAGAAAAAATGACTACCTTTTCCGATCAATTACAGCTTCTACTTGAGCAACAACAGCAGTGTTTCAAAAATAGCCAGTTGAATTTTTTAGAAAATTTACTCACACTGTTGGTAAATTTTCTATGTTTCGGAAATGCAACAGAAGTTGGTAAGTTCATTTCTCATCTGCAGACTGAGCTGGAAAACAACTGCAGAACATATGAAGCTGTTTATAAAAGCCTCTGTGAATCCCGGACGACCAGTGATGTAAACGAGAAAGTCATTCATGATTCGCCCAGTTGTCCAGAAATGTCAAATTCGGAAACATTCCCTGTCGTGGGTTCAAATCCCACTGTTCCTGAGACGTGTACAGACAGTGATGTACCCAACCCACAGGAAGATCTCTTATTAAATGCTCATAAATTAATTGCAGTACCCGCCCACAACGGAACAGGGAACAAATCGTGCAGTACACTGAATCCAGCTGTTTCAAATAGTCCTCATCATTCAACAACAGGAGATTCTGACGAATCTTATTATCTAGATCCTCTTGTACCAGGAACTGTGTTAGATGCATCAAATGATGATCAGAAATCTAATACAATTTTGATAGATGTTGATTATCTCAGTGATCAACTGTTTACAAATGAGATTTTCAACAAATCCCATGATAATGTTCCAGAAGAATCAAACGTTGATGACCTCATATCAAGCGACATTGATCCCCACTATTTAATCACTTTCAGTGACTTCTCTGTTCAATCTGACAATTATGTGTTAAAGTCAAATTAATTTTAACTTGGAGATATGAGGACCCAACATTATTTCGTGGGGGAGGATGAACCCAGAAAATCTCAAAATCCGGATATCAACTCCGGATCTTCAAAAAAAAGAGGTGTTGTGGATGCGGAGGAATAGACCAATAATTATCATGTTAAGTCCAATGTTGTCCTTGGACTTTAGATGGACATTTCCTATTGGTCGATATCTGTTCACTTGTTGAATATTGTACAAAATGTTGTTTTCTATTTTTATGGTACGATGTGGTATGCTTGATTGGTATATAAGCAAAGTATGTTTGAAATATAATGATTCATATCTCCGAGGCTGTGACTTGTCTTCTGGACTCAACTAACTGGGCTAGACAGGGAAGTGGGACCAATCGAGACTCTAGGCCGTCCGTACGTGTTTACGTGTCACTGTAATCGATCGATAAGTACGCTGCTCTCTAATTTTCCAGTCAAGGACACAACAATTAGCACAGGGTAAAAATCGACGGCAACCTAAAGCCATAACATTTACAGAAAATATATTTCAAATATTTTGCACATTTATTCACTAATATTTTCAAGAAAAATTGCAAACATTGCAAAACACTTAAAAGATATCTGGAGGCCCTATTGTTCCACGCACACAATAACTCATAATACGCTTCAATACGTTACTAACTGTAGAATTTGTATGAATTCTTCTCCCAGTCTATCATTAGCGTCCGCTTTATTGGTCTATCATTGATACCTCGTTATGTCGAGTGTCCTTTGAGTAAACCACCAACCTTCACTCATCCATTTCCACTCACTCAATTCTCCTAAATTATGCGAACTCATCAAATCTTGTTTATTTATTACGCAACCCATCTTACTAGCTTTTCAATTCTAGGAATCTTGTGCAAACCCTTCATTACTTCTAAAATCATCACACAACTCATCTTACCTGTCTCTGAACTTCACTCAGTTATTACATCATCCACCCCTCACATTTCTTGATTCTAACACTGAGTGACCTCCGACCTGTTCTTGCACACACATATATATAGTTATTATTGATAACCTTTGTTATTCCAATTCTTCACATTCACCTATGTCAATTGTTTCACACTATATCTTACATCAATGTGAAATTTTAATACATATTTGGTTGTTTTCGGCCGATGAGAAACCACGAAATATAACGAATTCATGTTATTCTGCAACCATGTTCGTCCTGGGATTATTTAAATTCATGAAGGGAACTAATTGCATGAAATTATTGATAACTATCGACCTCCAGAAACCTCTGGAAGCATACTAAATTTGGTAATTGAGCAAGTAAACATCCTAACAGAGTTCGACACATAACCCGTCAATATTCTAAGCTTTTGTGACGTATGTTAACTGGAAAAATGTTCTTATTCTCTTACTGGTTCCTGAAAGACTGATGGATAAGTTCTCGTAAAGATCTCAACAACTACCATTAAAATTTTATTTATCATGTAATATTTCACATATTACTGTCTGTTCTCATTACAATGAGAAATGAAAAGTAATTATTATCCAAATTAATTAATTATGATTCAAATGGAGTTTTGTTCCCTAAGCTGGATGGTTTGGTCATGGAGCCTTCAGCGTTATTCTGAACGGCATCATCAGCACAAACTCCACGATCAAACCATCCAGCTGATGATGTCGTTCAGAAGAACGCTGAAAACTCCACGATCAAACCATCCAGCTCAGAGAACAAAACTCCATCAAAATCTTCCATCTGAGCTACAAATCTTCTCCACCATCTCATAATTATGATTTGAATATTTTCTCAAAATGATATTATTCTTTTTAATTAACGGTGTACATTAAAAGAACATACCTGATCTGAATAACATTATTGTCGTGTAACGTATTTTATATAATACACACATACTCGTATACAATGAAAAACAACATAAAGTGGTATGAAATGCTGGAGATGGCAACAGTAAGAAAAGAATTACTAGTTTCAATTCCCATAGTTAGAGAACAAAACTAAACTGGTTTGAGGATAAACAGGATAGACTAATGGGATTATAAGAAATTGTTGTTCAGATGTACTAAATTGTCGGACGGTGATAGCTTCTACAAACCTAGTAATATCCTAATTGGCAATTCCTATTATAAAGATTTTTTCAAGTTATTTCTAAGGTCAATCATATGACCTGATATAACTAGAAACAAATAAACAATAGTAACAATATAGAATCCTCATAATAACGACAATATTATTATTATTATTATTATTATTCAGGATGCAATAGAATAATATTTATTGCATGTAACTGGATCAATTAAATTTATAGTAGTATGAGAGTATTGTATTAATACCCGTATCATTGTATTAGTAGTGTGGAACAGTAAAAGATAATAATTTATTGATGAAAAAGTCTTATACTTAATTTATCCTTAGCTTGTCAATCGGATTCATAGAGAAGCAATGATAATGACTACAAGTTATTAATTTATTTACTTGAGTATGCCTACACTGCAAATACTAACGCACTGTCATATGCAAGCAAACGACTTGATGTAACTTGTTTATCAAGTGTAGATTGGTATACGTTATTTCTGCATCGCCTATTACTTATACGGCAAAAATGAAGAACCAATGCAATTTCTACGACACCAAATAACAACACACAACACTGATACAAGTGGAGATTTATTCACCCCAAAAACACTACGATAACTCTAGTCGAAAATACACTCATTTATATAATGATTTGTACACCCATCTGATTAGTACTTAGGGAAAAGTCACATGTATGGAAACTATTCAGAATCATAAGACACCACATGTTGCATATCATGCTGAACATATGTTACATGCAAACGAAGAATAAATGAATGGTGACTACTGGGAATTATATATGAGTTATCATTACATATATTCTTATTGCACGATTGTTAAGTAACTAGGGTATAGATATATAATTAAATGTTTCAAAAGATGGTTAAGTAATTAATTGAAATATTGTTAGAAAGTACATACCGAAAACTAAACACATAGACAACAGAAGTAAATGATGTACAAATCGCTATGATGAATAGCAAATAGAAATTCTTTTATTCGATCCATCAATGATACTAAGTTATCTACATATGGATGTAATTTTCTGTGCATTTGTGAATATTATACAGATTTGACTGTGTATATAACAATGTTGAACTTGAGACTACATCAGTGTTTTCTTTCTTGATTACTTCTATACTTAAATGAAAGTATCATTCAATATAAAAATAGTTTTGTCTCACAGTGTAAAGAACTAGGTTATACAATATTTAAGGGTAAGAAAAACAGGCAATTGAATCTTTAAAAAAACTTATTTTAATGTAATTAAAAAATGTGTGTAGTGTTGCTTCTCAAAATAGGCTGAAACTTTATATTTTACAGAATTCAACCCATCAGTGAACATACGACTGGCAGCATTTTTTAATGAATCAAGTACTAAACGTCTATTCGCTCGAACCTGTTTAGTGTGAGGTTGAGCCAGATATCTGCCTATTGACTTTTCAATGTGTTTATACATAATTTCTGATGCTTTCAGTCGCCTCTCCAAATCATCGTCCTCTCCACCCCAACCCCAATAACTATTCGAATAACCATTAACCTGTATAAAGTGTGAAGTCGATATTTTCAAAACACCACCGATCAATGATTGGTAAGGTAAAACATAATTCCATGAACTCACTCCAACACTCAAATGAATCACACTCTCCATCATCTCTTCATCACAACCATGTGGTATTCTATCATCCAATGGTATTAAGTCGGCATCATGAAATATAACACAGTCGAAATCGAAACGTTTATGTGCTTCAATAAAACCAATGTTCATCAACTGAGCTTTGTTCAAAATACCAGTACCCTGTTGTTCAATAATAAATATTCGATAACACAAATGTTGTCTCTGGAGAACTGGAATCAGAGCGGACAATGTATTATTCAGTTGTTTCCATCTATCTCTACAAACAATGATGATTGCTACACCGGATTGTGGAACATTGTTGCAATTCGTCGTCACCTCCTTAAACATCCAACCGCCACCAAGATCATGTGAATAAAATGTGTCGTTGATTGGGTTCACCTCTTCATTGAATTCACCATTGAATGGCATTTTCCCAATTGGTTTCAATGCACTCACCTTACTCGATGGAATACTGTCAATATTCTTACAAATAGTACGACATGTGCGTTTGCAGTTAATATGTGCCATATTGGGTATAATAACTGCTTCTTCAGAGTGATTTCGTAGGGTAACATATTTGACAGTTGTACGCATGAAATATATATGTAATATGAAAATTATACAAAGTGTTAATCCGATTGCTTTCAGAATTGCATAGTAGATTCTGAACGATGATTTCTTCTTGATAAACATTTGATTATACAATCCTTGTGTTTATAAAACACAATGGTAACAACGGTAACAATAACAAAAATAAACGTTGAAGAATCGGGTGCTTATTATCTAGTTAACATTTTAATTGAGACACTGAACCAATTGATTTTGAGTATTATATTGACCAATTGAATTTTGACTTTTGTTTATAATGGTTAATTGAAGTTTAAGATTATTTCTCTATCACAGAATAACATTGCAGTAAAGACCAATAAAAGTTTGAATTCAGTAAATTGTCATTTTAACATAGATCTATTCTGTCGTCTGTTCTTAACTGCCACTTCTCAACTCATTCCCCAGGGGCTTGAGTGTGAGCCACCATGTAAGTGCGATGTCCAACCATAATCCTCAATCGTTTGAACAAAGTATTTAAAGAGGACTTTGAACCTGCGGTTGAGTAGCTGGAAGTCGAACGCTACGATCACTAAAATATCACTCTACAAGGGATTCAAACTCCATACTTATAACCTATTTATTATGAGATTAACCGAAGTTGTTTCTTTGAATGGGTCTGACAGAAACTTTTGTTGGCTCAACCATTAGATCATTTCTTCCTGGGTTGTAGCGCTCTTTTGCCATTTCCAGATTATCATAGAGCCTCAGTGAATAATGGTATTTTATGCTTGCGATCAACATGGAGGGGTAGAAGTTTTTCTATGATGAGAAAGTATCAACTCCGCTTTCATCTTGTGATTGTACAGCTATCATGTTCATAACCGTTATGTGAGAGACGGAAATCAAGTTAATCAGCACCAAATATTGAAACCAGTACAAACAAACAAAATAGGTTCCTACAGGTCAAAAGTTGCAACACGTGAAGTCTTATCAAAAAGATTATAACATGATTTTGAGGTATCGTGGAAGGTATTTAACCTTCTGAGAAGCGCTCCAGTTATTCGCTCCTTTCAATTCATCTCATATTGTATTTCGAAGTATCTTCATTTTTTGTGAATTAGTTCTTGCTAGAAATATGTTTATTGTCCTCATGATCCAAAGATATTTTCAGATGTTTGTGTTAAATAATATGCAATAAATTATTCATGTAAAGTTCAATATAATTAAGGTTCCTTTTGAACATACCTCTTTTGACTGATGAAATACTTAATGAATACCTACTAATCAGCATAGTAAAATGATATCACTATGCAGTCTAGCTCAAATCCTATCAGAGAAGCTACTGAGATCTACCTGTGAATTTGAAAGTGATTTCTCTGGTTAGCTTGTCTATAGTGGTTATTTTCTATGGGGTGATGTTGCGAACCCTATCCCCAACTCTTCTTCTTTATCCGGGCTTCAGGTCGGTAGTAAGTCTAAACGGGCTACAAGCGTAGTTACTCAATATCTGTTGACTGAATGTCATCAACAACAACCTACTGTGGCAGAGGACAAACCAAATTCCGGATGAGGAGGAAATGAGAAAAAGACGCTGAAGTTGGGTAGAATATACACTGCAGAAACTTGAAATTCTGAAGGCTAATGGATAAGAGGTGATCCGGTGGACACATTGTGCCGGGAATCGCAGTCAGACATCGAAGGAATGAATAGCACTTGGAAACAACTGCAAAGGAAAATGCGGGACAGAAATGGTTGGCGAACCTCTGTCGGCGACCCATGCTCCAGGAGGGGCAACAGGCGCAAGTAAGTAACTGACGAATTTGAAATGATCGAACGAAAGGTCGTCCAAGTCAAGAATCTTTACTGTCCCACTAACCATTCTCTAAATTACAGTTCTTGTTGTTGGTCACTAGTCAGTTATTCGGTTGAACGTTACCTATGATGATGTTCCATTCACTAAGTGAGTTTTATGTTTGCGATGTTTAAAGAGTTTAGCTGAAGTTCTTGAATCTTCTTCATCACGATATTGGAAAACGAAATCGCTGGTGCGTTTTTCTACCTCTTTGATATTACTTGGATTCACTGATGTGATAGAAGCCTGAAGAGTTCAAACGAACTAATCTGTTAAACCATGAGATTGAGGTTTTTGTGGAGCTGTGAACAGATGACGGCATCCAATTTGAATAAGTCATTTGTTAAACTCTTTTCCTATGAACTGGGTTCAATTATCAGTTACTAATACATTGGATATACCTTATCTACTAAATATCTTCATGATTGCTCTTTGAGTTAAGTGTCCGCTGGGAGTGTTTGTGAGTACCACTCCGGGTAATTTAGAATATGAACCGATCATAAATAAAGTACAATATGAGTCTAAAAATAGGCTACAGTAATCGGCTTGCATACGTTCCTACGATTCAGGTGAGGACTCGAAAAAGGTTTATTGTGCGACAGCTTATGTAAACGAGAACTACATCTATCCGATTTCCGATACAGTGTTCAGTAGTGAAATGATTAGCACTCAACTCTAAATTTACTTCTGGACCACGGTGGGGGATTGTATTTTCACTATCTATACCACAGTTGAAGCATTCCTTTGAGTCTGAGAATATCTTTCTTCACTACTGCTTAACTATCTCGAGACAAAACGTTTTCCGATCTGCTGTAGAACCGCACCTAGCTCCATTGGAGTTACGAATAAATCTAGAATAAAACTGTGATTACAGGAGACTGTAATTAATAGATTTGGGATAAATTAAGAATGGTAAATCATATAATCGTAGTGAGTAGATCAAATGAAAGCTTATGATAAAAGTAATATATATCTATATATATGCCCTAGTCACTTAACAATTGTCCAATAAGAATATATGTAATGATAACTCATATATAATTCCCAGTAGTCACCATTCATTTATTCTTCGTTTGCATGTAACATATGTTCAGCATGATATGCAACATGTGATTTCTTATGATTCTGAATAGTTTCCATACATGTGACTTTTCCCTAAGTACTAATCAGATGGGTGTACAAATCATTATATAAATGAGTGTATTTTCGACTAGAGTTATCGTAGTGTTTTTGGGGTGAATAAATCTCCACTTGTATCAGTGTTGTGTGTTGTTATTTGGTGTCGTAGGAATGACAGTGGTTCCTCGTTTTTCCAGAATAATTAATTTGCAATGAGAATTTTACAATTTACTATGGTACTTTAATCTTAATCTGATTCCAAAGGTTGCTATCATTCAGTACCTTGTAATTTTTTAATGATCCAGACATCCTTAATTCACCTGACACTAGTGTAAATCCAAGAATCAATTACTGAGGTTTATAGAAGTTTGTATTTCACATAATCTACTGAACTATTGAAGTACGTGAACGAATACAATAACAAATATTTAGAAACAGGCAGAAAATAAGTCATCATTCAATAAACAGGTAAACAAATAGAAACCGCACATTCATCAATGCTTGAACTAAATAATTAAAGACACATTAAGTAAGACTGATACCAAAGCAACTGAATTATCGAAATTGTTAAACGACACAGGTGGACAAGATGCGGATGTTCCATGGTATAACATGCAAAATCAGATCTCTTTGGTCCTTCCGTCTTGTTAGCCTTTTGATTCAGTTATTTTCAGATTGGTTGTTTAATTGTTTGATTTATTCATTATTCTATATGTAAAACGGTAAATTTGTTAAACTAGAAAATTCAGGTTCATTTGCAACAGGCACATAAACCAACGCTACCCACTGACGGATTTGTAATTCGGAATTTCGACTTGTCATATAACGTTCTTTACGGTTTGGTGATCGCTGTTTACTCCACTATATACATTAGGCCAGAAGAATCCAGCAAAATTGTATTGTATTTGGGCAAACTTGACAGTATATTAAAGATTCCCATTGTGAAAATTAGAACAACACATATAAGCGAACAATTGTTTTCAATTAGATCGTCATCAGGCTTTACTCTAATATACATGAATATTTATACGAAAATTTTAAACCAATCAAGGCAATATGAGTCAATAATCACAATGAAATAGAATAAGTCACTACACATAAAATAGGTAAAAGTACAAGTTGATAGTACGAAGACAGGTGAACAGATAGTGGTAAGAATAATAAACTACAATAACAAAACTCTTATCAATAGTTAATCGTTGGAAATAGAAGGTCAAATAAACATGGGTAAATAGACAAGGAATAGTAATCACAAAACCTTAAAAATCATTACGTAATAAGATGTGTGTAAATAATTACATAGTGAAGAATAAAAAGAGGCGGATAATGACAAACAAATAATGGATGTGGAAATAAGGTTAACAATAACACAGATAGAATAAAATAAATAATGATAATAATAAAGTTTGTAAAAAAATTTAAAAAAAAAATTGTTAGTTAAGTTATAACTGGCCATGGAAGGGATAGGGGAGTCACGTATTTCTTCTGTACACATAGATTGGGGTTATATGTACGAATTCCAATGGCTTCAGCTATATATAGGAGACGGGAACGGACTCCGTCGGGAAATGATGGAGGTATACGATAGATAACTCGAAATGATTTCGATTTCTCTACTGCATGACCGCTATCAATATTCGGTTAAACACCTTCCTTCAGAGCTTCAGTCAATGTTTATGGATTATGTGGGGAAAATTTCCAAAAACAGATCTGAGAAAACGTTGACGAAACTAATGAAAGCTTTGGAAAACCAGAAGTCAGAAAAGGAATTTCCCTTCGACACGAAACGGTACGTACATAATTTTTTCCAATATTGAACTAGATGTAGTACAGCTAGAAGCTTTATCTCTGGGACCTAAATTCTGTGATAGTAGACATAGAATCAACCAATTAGATACTGATGTACAATTTGAGAATTTGTTTTCACAAACAACTGACTTGATTCCTACCTCATTGGATGACCTTGCTCGGTTTAAAACCACACTAGTTGATAGCTGCCAACAATACAAGAATAGTAAGGGTACCACAAATCACCTACTAACCAAGCAGCACCGTGACTCTTTAATGAAACTAAGAAAAGATGAAACCCTGACCATAACCAAACCAGATAAAGGAGGAGGTATAGTTCCCATGAACAAAAATGATTACATGGGAAAAATGGAAACAATGCTTAGCGATTCTAGCAAATTTCAGAAAATTACTAGTAATTGTGACATCAATAATAAAGTAGAAAGACAATTGGCCAATTTCCTTAAAGATCTAACGAAAAAGGGAATAATTACTACTGAGATTTACGATTCAATTAAGCCGACTGGATCATTTACACCACGATTGTATGGTTTGCCTAAAGTACATAAATCGGGTCTTCCTCTACGCCCAGTTCTAGATATGTACAATTCTCCTTACCACAAAATCGCAAAGTGGCTAGTACGAACCCTAGAACCTTTACACAAATCAGTTGTTAGAAATAGTGTAAAAGATGT